GATGCCAAGCATCGAGCCTCAAAAGTTGAACATTGTTCAACTTTTGATGCCGATAGATGCTCGTGATGCTTGCAAAGCCATGCCATGCTCCCCACAATGCAGTTCGGCGAAGATTAAAAATCTTCTACGCCACCCCATTCAAGTGAATGGGCGAAGCGTTGAAAGAATTTTTCGATGCCTGTAGTGTAGACGGGCCGTAAAGCAGGTGTGTTTCAGGGGAAAATGATCCCCAGGCCCTGCATTCAAAATGTCAAAGTGTTTCTCCTTTGCTCCTCCTTTACAGTAATTTTCATATAAGTTCTCATCTATATAATGCAGTAAGTATTGAGCAAAGTGCTTTGACAAGCTGAAAATAAAACCCAAAACATGGAAGTTAAATCACAAATGAAACATTGTTCATCTTGCAAAAACTAAAGAGATATTTTCTCTCCATTCCCACACATTATAGTTTTAGAGGCTTATTCAAATTCAACTCATCCTGACAGAAGCTACTTGAACATTTTTATCTTAATAGACTGCAGCTAAGTCTCAATTTGAATCTAATCAGCAATTTCCCAAATGGCTCAGTATATTTTCCTATGAGGGAAGCAGAGGGAGCGGTACTCACTGAGGCTGGGTGCAGTCCTGAAGGTTACACATTCTGCGGATCGGTTTCGGCTTCTTGCTGGCGTCGCAGTACCCTCGATGGACCATTTTGGTGTCTCCTTTCTTTCGACATCCATACTTAGTGTACTGAAACCCTGTGAAAGAAGTGAGGACCATTTTGTTTTTTAGTAGGAAAGCGTTCTGTTTGTCCATGGAAAAGGTTTAATTTCCTTATCAACCGGAACCTTAAACAACAAACCACCACCAAAGAAGCTCCTTTAATAAAAGAAAAGAGTAATATGAAAAAAAAAACATTTTAAATAGCTTCAGCTCAAGAGAATAGGAACTAAAGTAGAGAAAATGACACAATCAAATGCTGCCTACTTACAGCAAGAGCAGTGAGCCCATTCATCAGATTATCACATTTATAACAGAAGGAACCAATTTATTCCTCTCAGGTCCTTTTTCATTTGGTAATTTTTCCTTTACCTCCAGCACAAGGCTTAGAACACGGAGACCAGCTCTTCAGAGCCCACTCAAACGTCTCCTCCTGGATCACGTTGTTGTTGTTGACGGGCACCGAGTCTTCATGGATGATGTACTTGTACATTAAAGTAGACCGTGTTTCATTATCTCTAGGTACTATCTGCAAACAATGGAAGTAACGAAAATCAAACAAAACACATGACCAAGGGAGCATCGTGCTGCAGCGTATTTGCATTAAACTATTCTAAGTGTAAATGTGTGCAAATTATTTGATTGAATTTCAGGAAACAGGAGAGTAATTGTTCCATAAAAACATTCAAGCAGTTTCCATAATTTCGTAAAAACAAGGTGTAATCGGCTGAAGACTGGAATTATCGGACAACAGAGGAGTCTGTGCTTGAGATAAGACTGAAGCCACTAGGGCATCCACAACGGAAACACATTCTGTCTGATCTGTTTTTCTCTGGATCTGGTGTGTTTTACAGAGTTTCTGGAGACAAGGGAGTTCATTTCCAAATGGAAACTTTTGGCAGTATGATATACCCTGCAGGAGTATAGAGACGAAGAACCTCCTTTAAAACTTACTTCAATAACAAAACCTTCAATGTATGCTGGACACAGACATACCTTTTATATCGAATAACCGAATAATTCATGGTTAACTTTGTGAGCTTTTTCCAGGATGTGAGATCAAAGTGAGCATGGAAAATACCCGAGCAGAATCACAGTTCAGATGATACCACATTAAGTCATTCCCTTTTTTTTTTTAAGACAAAGTTAAGGGATGATAATTGTTGTTCTTAGAGTTGCGATATGGCCAATAAACTACATAATGAAGATCATAAGATAGCAGTGTTATTTTTTTACTTTTATTGTCATTACACAGTAGGTCTACTTACTATGTGACCAAATGGTTTCTCTGCATTTGACCCATCCTAGTGTTAGGAGCAGTGGGCTGCCATTATGAACGGCGCTCTCAGATTTTCAGTTCTTTGATCGTAACTTTGTGTATTCTTGCGTTACTGTTTGTTTGTATTTCTTTTTCTATACCACAAGATTGTAAATTAAGATTTTAAACATGTCACAGTAGGGGAACAAAATACAAATGCAAATCTATCTATTTATCTATCTATCTATCTATCTATCTTGTTTGAATCCTACTTAAAGGACAGAAAAAACTTCGTTTCTATAGGTAAATACAAATCTGAGTTGAGAAATATGACATGTGGGGTACCCATCTTGGGGCCTCTTCTCTTCAACATCTAAATGCTACCGCTGGCTCATATCATGAAAAACAACTAAATAAGTTACCATAGCTATGCAGATGACACACATTTACATAACCATTTCACCAGGAGACTATGCTCCAATTCAAACACTGAGTAAGTGCATTGAACAAATCAATGACTGGATGTGTCAGAACTTTCTCCAATTAAACAAAAACTGAGGTAATGGTTTTTGGAGCCAAGGCAGAACGTATAAAAGTTAGCGCTGAGCTTCAGCCTGCAATGTTCAAAACAAGCGATTGAGCCAGAAATCTAGGTATAGTCATGGACTCTGACCTGAGTTTCAACAGTCACATTAAAACAATTACTAAATCAGCCTACTATCACCTAAAGAACATATCTAGGATTAAAAGACTAATATCACAGCAGGATTTGGAAAAACTTGTCCATGCTTTTATCTTCAGTAGACTGGACTACTGTAATGGTGTCTTCACAGGTCTCACTAAAAAATCTATTAGAAAGCTTCAGCTGATTCAGAACGCCGCTGCTCGAGTCCTCACTAACACTAAGAACG